GCCCACAGGGTACAGAGACTCGTGGTCGGGTGGCAGGGGGAGGGGGTGGTGGCCGTGGTTGGAGTGGAAACAACAGGGATTCTGGCCAGGGCTCTGGTGCTCCGCTCCAGGAGGTGTTTCTCCCAATGGCCACTGGGTGGCAGCACTTCTCCACGAATATGGGGCGGAGGAGCCTGGGACCAGAGGGCAGGAATCTTGGAGGGGGAGCCAGGCCCAGAGAGGAGCTGGGACTTTCCCAGGGTCACACAGCTTTCAGTGGCGGGGCCTGGCCAGGTGAGAGGTCACCCGCCTGCCTGGAGAGACTCAGGAGCGGAGGGAGGAAGGAGGAGGAGGAGCAAGCTCGGAGGGTGAGCATGAGGGCCAGCCCTGACTCAGCCTCCTGGAAGGGGGTGGATGTCCTTACCCCAATTTCGACCCCCAGCATCCTATCTATCCTTGAGTAAGTGCTGAGGCCCTGCTGACACCCCTCACCCATGCCTCTGGCTGAGGTGGTGGTACTCCCGCCCGGACTTGGACGGCTGTTTCCACCCCCAACCCTGGCCTGTCTCCCTTGCCACACTGAACTGTGCCTTGTACCCCTGGCCGCCCGCACCAGCTGTGCGCTCTGCCTGTGCCACTCTGCCCCTCTCAGCCTGGGTAGCACCCGCTCCTGCAGGACTTAGCTGAGATGTCACTTCCTCCAGGAAGCCCTCTCTGACCTTCAGCCTGGCAAGGAGCCCCTTCTCTGGGCCCACATAACACCCTGGGCTCCTCCTGGATGTTGAGCCCCCTGGGGCGGGGATTGCTGGTGGACCTGAAAGGCCCAGACACTGAGCATTCTGAGCCTGTGACACGGTGGTCCTGCAGTAGGCACTGAAGCCATGCACGGAGCTTTGTGAAAATGTGGCTTCCAAGAGCTGCCCTTCCTTGGAGACTCAAGGAAGCGGCAATCAGGACAGAGGAGAGGCTATCTGCAAGGAGGCAGTGGGTGGGGACTGTATTTAAAGTGGAAAGGGGGGGCGCCTGGCTGGCTCAGTCCGTTAAACATCCAGCTCTTGGTTTCGGCTCAGGTCGTGATCTCGCAGCGGTGGGATTGAGCCCCGAGTCAGACTCTGTGCTCAGTGTGGGGTGTGCTTCAGATTCTCTCTCCCTCTCACTCACTCTCTCTCTCTTTCTCACAAATGAATAAATAAAATCTTAAAAAAACAAAATAAAGTGGAAAGATGAGGAGGTATGGGGACATATGGAATTTTCCCTTTTTTGGTGACTGTGCCTGGTTGTAAGTAGCCCATTGATCTGTTAGGGCCTATGGATATTCTGACCTGTGTTGTCTGATGGGCCTGTCTGGATTCAGCCAGGGGGTCACTGTGGCCCCTTTCTACATTCCATTGCTCAAGTCTGTTTGTCTAAAAGAGGTCTCTACATCCCAACCACCGCCCCCGCCGCCCTTTAGATCAACAATGACAAATCTTTGGCATTTGGACACAGGTCTAGCCTCAGTACCTTCTTCCTGATGAATGAGGGGTGTAGAGATGTCCCCACCTAAACCTGTTGGTCCAGCAGGGGTTCTGTGCAGTTACAGACCAGAGCATGGTATTAGGTTAACGTGCTGATAAGCGATTTGAATGAAAGTCCTTGGCGGCCACAGCCATGGGGCCTGGGGAGGGGACCCTCCGAGGGAATGGGTTGGATTCCCTTTAGAGCTATCATGCACAGATGGAATTTGTTGGATGCACTCAGACAAGTAGGAACGTGTTAGCCGGTAGATCGAGATGGAGACTCTGATCTAAGAGGTCTGAGACAGAGCCCCAGAATCTCCGTGTAAGACACCTCGCGTGGGAGTCTGTTGCAGGGGCCTGAGCATCCTAAGGCCCTTTCGTGTACCATAGGCCTGCCTTCTGAAGCAGCTGGGCAAAATAATTGCAATGAGGCATGACAATAAAAACCTCTGGCACCTGCACCCATCCCCAATTCTCCAGACCCCTGAGGCTCAGAGACAAAGGGTGACTGGCCCAAGATCCCCCAGCTACAAAAGAGCAGAGCTCAGATTGGAGCTGGGACCCGTCCTGGGGTGGGGGTGGGGCGGCAGTCTATAATAAAGCCTCCTCTGGGTTTGGAGGTTGCTGTTTGTTAAAAACCAAAATTCCAAAATCCAGGACCTACACTTAGTGTGGTGATTCCAGCCCCATGGAGGAAGCTCAGGTCACGGTTCAAGTTCAGGCCCTTATCATCCCTTCTCTCTGTCCATCCATGTCCTCTCCTCCAGAGCCCAGAAAATGTCCTGTCTCCTATAAAGCCACAGCCTTTTCTAGGGCACTTTCATCCATAGCCGGGGGTTGTGCCAGGCTCTGTGGGAGAGGCAGGCAACCTCCCTTGATCGCACTTTGTAAATACTGTGTTTTTTACAAATTGAAGGTCTGTGGGCATTAAGCAAGTCTATGGATGCCATTTTTTTCCAATAGCATTTGCTCACTTTGTGTCTCTGTGTCACGTTTTGGTCATTCTCACAATATTCCAAAATTTTTGATGATTATTATATTTGTTATGGTGATCTGTGATCAATGGCTATGACTCACTGGAAGCCCAGATAACGGTTAGCATTTTTTTGGCAATAAAGTATTTTTTAATTAAGGTATGTCACATTGCTTTTTTAGATGTATGCTCTTGCCAACTTAATAGACTACAGTACAGTGTAAACATAACTTTTATCTGCACTAGGGAATCAACGAGTTCACTTGACCTGCCTTATTGCGACGTTTGCCTTATTGTGGTGGTCTGGAACTGAGCCCACGATGTTTCCACGATGCCTGTACAGAGAAGAACAAGATCTGCCCCCAGGGGCTTTCTGGCTGGCAAGACAGAAAGTGCTTACTTTGTTGTTTTGGGTTTTTTAAAAGATTTTATTTATTTATTTGTTTGTTTGTTTGAGAGAGGGCGGGGGAAGGGTCAGAGGGAGAAGCAGACTCCCTGCTCGGCAGGGAGCCCGATGCGGGACTCGATCCTGGGACTCCAGGATCATGACCTGAGCTGAAGGCAGACGAAGGCAGACGCTTAACCGACTGAGCCACCCAGGAGCCCCAGGAAGTGCTTACTTTGGTGATGGACCAAGTTACTTGAACTTTCTTTCCCCTCAAATTCATGGTCTCAACCTCGCCCCCTTAATTGGCTGGAACAGGTTTCCCTGCTGCATGAGCTGGCTGATAAAGTGGTTCATATTTTCACACTAATAGGCATTCAAAAGCAATCCAGTTTTCTTTTTGTTTGTCACAGTGACATCACCCATTGATGGATTCCTGGCATCCTCTGGAAGGTGCCAGGGATGATAAAGTTAGTACAAAAAGGGATCTCAGGGAGCATCAGTTTACAATTTGTTGAGATATGAGCCCTAGGCCCCAATTTTTTTTAAAAAAATTTTATTATGTTATGCTAGTCACCATACATTACATCATTAGTTTTTGATGTGGTGTTCCATGATTCACTGTTTGCGTATAACACCCAGTGCTCCAGGCAGAACATGCCCTCTTTCATACCCATCACCTCTTTAATACCCATCCTCCCACTGCCCTCCCCTCTAGAACCCTCAGTTTGTTTTTCAGAGTCCATAGTCTCTCATGGTTCGTCTCCCCCTCCAATTTCCCCCCTTCATTCTTCCCCTCCTGTTATCTTTTTTTTTTTTTAACATATAATGTATTATTTGTTTCAGAGGTACAGGTCTGTGATTCAACAGTCTTGCAC